AGGGTGGCGTCGTCAGCAAAAGAATGGATTGGGTTAACAGTTTTAGAGAAAAGATCATTGATAATTAGAAGAAAGAGGATGGGTGCAAGTATTGAACCTTGGGGAACGCCAGCATTTACAGGGAACGGCTGAAATAAAATCCCAGCAACTCGGATGGAGATGGCTCGAGTACTGAGGAAATTTGATATTCACTCTGTGAGCACGGGAAGGAACCCGAACTTAGAAAGTTTCACCAGCAGACCTTCGTGCCAAACTCGGTCGAAGGCATTTAAGATGTCAAGCGAGACCAAGTGTTTTTCTCCATCATTATCAAGTGCAACCGACTACGATTATGAAACAAGAGCCAGCAGGTCACCGGTGGAACGGCACAGTCGGAAGCCATACTAGCGGTCGCTCGACAGTCCTTCATGTTCGAGGAACTTGCGTAGTTGGTCGGAAGTGATAGTTTCAAATACTTTCGGAAGAACATATGTGAGAGAATCGGATTGGTGATTGTTGGGGTCAGAAGGGTCGCCGCGTTTGGGAATGGGAAAGATTATGGCGTGTTTCCAAGTGGGTGGGAAAGTAGAAAGTTGGAGGGAAAGATTGAAAAAGTGACACATTTTGAGGACAATGGGGGGAATACCGTCCGGACCGGATGGTTTGTTTGCGTCTAGAGAGCGCAGTGTTTGACGGATTTTCTCAGTGCTAATACAAGATAGAAACGGGTTGTCAGTGAAGAAGTTGCAGGTGTAGAAAAATGGGGTAAGGTGGAATTGGCGGCAAACGGATGCGAAAACCTCAACTTTCTCGTGTGGTTGACACACAAGATCACCAGAGGAATTACAGATAGGGGTAAGTTGGAAAGACAGAAATTACGGGCAATCGCTTTGGTAAGTGACAGACGTTTTCGGCTTTAAAACCAACGAAGCGTTCTTTGATTCTCTGAGTGGTTGTCCCCAATCTGTTCCTAGCTTGCAAAGCTAGGAAGCGATGGTGGGAGTTGGGAGTGGGCAGTCGGCGCCAGCGGTGGAAGGCCGACCGATTTAGGCACACAGCACGATCACATGCGTGGTTAAACCACTCAGGGGATTTGGGTTTGTCGGGTTTCGAAAAGTGCATAACAAAAAGATACACACCTTGAAGAACAATGTCAGTGAATTTGGAAACGGATTGGGGAACGTCCGAAAAGAAACAACAATCGTTCCAGGGACAAGAAGCTAGGAAATCACGTAGACCGTAGCAGTTGTCTGAGTTGTAGCGCCGTAATATGTGTATCGAGTTGGGTGACTGATCGGGGCTGATAAATTTTCTAGAACAATAAACGATACCATGATCCGATAGACCAGTAGGAGGGAGAAAAAATACATGGAAAGAGAGAAGAGGCCGAAATGAGAATTCGATTGAGGATGTGGGCACGGCCGCCAACTCGGTCAGGGACACGTGTGGGTAGGTCAACTAGTTGGTTGTTGACCCAAGCGAAATTTTCGGATTCGCGCCCTAAAAAAGTAAGTAGCAGGTTAATATGTCAACCATTTCTGATTATAAATATTGAAATTTCCCGAAATGCTAACATGTCATTTGTGGTCGGTTGCTAGCAAGTGTTCAATGTTCGAAGATGGAAAATCGAATATGGAGGAGTCGCCACTAATGAAGGGACGATACGGCACACAAAAGTAATGATGCAATGAAGGAAGCCGGAGCTTCAGCCAAGTCAGCTGAAACACACTATTGGGAAATTCAAGATTTGTGATTTGGGAGTGCGTAGAGCGGGCGAGAGAGCGACAGCGTGCATGATTTCGTATTATCATATTTATGTTGTGAGAAGAAAACCGGTAACCATGAGACTTGTAGTGGTAGACCACATAAGGCTTCAGAAGTTCTGGCGTGGTAATGAACCGAACGACGGCAAACCCATCTGCCACCCACTCCATTACCTTGCGGGACTATTTTAGTTGGTTTTCTTGTTCACAAACAACTCATTATTTACTTTCTCACAAAGTTTATTGTACCCTGGGTTGTTTGACACTATCTGGATTCAGTCATGAAATATAGTGTAACTTTTCTTATGATTTGAAACGGTGGTAAAGATGATTGTGTGGCAGCACATTACTCCTCGTGTATTCGTTAAATGTGTTGTGTACTTCAATCATACATGTGTGTCAGTTGTCATTGTGCTTTTCCAAGGAATTTACAGTGCTCTTGCTTAGCATGGTAGAATATGAGGGCACTTTTCTATCCAACAATTGGCTGTTAGTTGTTTCCTTTCATTGTACTTGAATACTGGTTCGTTATTTCTCGCCCCTCCTCTCTCTCTCTCTCTTTTTCAACAGGGTTCTGTACAATGTCTGGCCTTTTCCCCCTGTGGTCGATACTTGGCCAGTGGTGGTTGGTGCGGCGCAGTGTGTATCTGGGATCTAGGTTCAGGTCATCAGGTAGGTCAGCTTGGGGGTTACGCTGCATCTCGACCGCTGGGACAATCCCATCGACGTCCGGAGGTGGAAGAGGCATTGAGTTCTGCTGGTCAGTGGCTCACCGGTCCGGTGGTATCCTTGGCCTATTGTCCAGACCAGTCTGGACGATTGGCTGCCGGTGGTCTGGAAGGTGTAATTCGTGTATGGAATATCAATACGGGACGTTCAACAAGCAGCGCATCACGTGCCGGCTCTAACACAACACCATCTGGGTCAGTTGCCAGTCCAGGTCTGGTTAATTTGCATCGAGCCTCGAAACAGAAACAGCTTGGTCGTGGCCAAAGCAGCGGTTCTACAATCAGTTCACAATGGGCCGGTTACTATACACCAGTTTCTGGATCCGACGTGTCAGATACCTGTTTATCCGAGACGTTCTATACTCGACGCACATCGGTGCTTGGGTTGCAATACGTTCATCCATATTTGATGCTTGCTTCCGGTCCCTATAATCAGCAGTAATTGCGAAGGAAAATTGTCATACACTGCCATGACTCGACCCTGTACAAATGCTTTGTTTTTGTAAATAAACTTTTGTTTTATCATCACACTCTGTGCGATTGATAACACCGTAGGCAAATTAGGTTGGAACATTTGGGTCACAATATCGTCTCTTACCGTTTTTTATTTTCCTTATATAGCACAACCCATCTCTTCCCGTTTAGTGCAGGCATCACACCTTGAGCATCTCAGCACTAACCTCCGGGGTTGACTTGGTTGGAAACATTCCGACCCGATTACATGTTTATTCAAACACAGTACTGGGAATTCACTACTATCAACTGTAAATTACGAGGATCTAAGTTCACTTTATGGACTTATTCGTCAATACAAAGCAATAGAGAACAGTGGGCATCTACCATGAAAACGGCGAATTAAACTCACATGGTCTTCCAGATTTTTTGAACTCCAATTCCAAAACTGACTTATTCATTTCTAGGGTTAGTATTTTCAGCACTTGGTATTTTTATCGTTGATTACCAGTGTGTATTATTAAAGTTATTCAAAAAGGAAGTAAGGGGAACAAATACATGAACACTACAGTGTTTGTGGGAAAAAGGTGTGAAGCCTAATGCTCATCACCCACAGTTCTGTGAAGTGTCTCTGAAGATTGTCTAAAAATTAGTATGTCATGCGCAGTTCACCTGGGGCAGAGAAATTGGCCCTTGCGATCTAGGGGTTGAAGAAAACAGTGATTGAACTTACAATGCAATGGATGGTTTCAGGTGGATAGGATAGTGTTTCTAAGCTTGACACACGAAGGAAAGTGCTTTGTAATTATGAAATTGATTGTGGTAGAGGGGGGGGCATTCCTGGAACACGACAATTATTTATTCGAATTTGGGTGAATGTGACAAGGTGGACAATGGGCGCAATTAAGGAATGCATCAATCTTTAAATGGATAACGTAGAGCTTGTAAATAAGGAAATTAGCTTGTCTTAGCCACGACGAATGAAAACCAATGAAATCCGTTCCATCTATGGATCTCGTGTGATTAGCTTGTAAATGGCTTCAGCCATAAAATATGCAACAATAGAAGCCGCATCTTCATGAATGTAGTACCATTCACGCCCTTTCCTTCATCAACAAAAGGATAACCTTGAAGGAAAAGACAAGTGCACGGAGGTCCAATCGAATTCAGTCCCAATGGTGTGCGTGCGTAAAAACGAACACATCTATCACGTGATGTGGATTAACGGTGTGGCATGGAGCAGCACATTGGGTTCAGTCGATCAATCGATGCAGGTCAAAAGAAAAATGGTGAGGTCAACCAGGGAAGTGTCAAATGAAATCAACACAGGTACCCTATCTTTATAAATACACAAAGACAATTTACAAACAACAGCGAAAGCACTTACATAAATCCGGAAAGATTGCCAAATGAATTAATGCTTAAGTAGTTCACTTATATGACTTTCCAGGTAGATTGGCCTTCAGATCAAACGTTACAGTCATAAGGGAGATGCGCAACAGCCCCTTGATCCAATCAACCGAGAACATTTGCGTCGTCAAGAAAACTTTACCATTTATTGGTCCTTATCCGAAACAGACGCTACCATTGACTAAGAAGGAGATTGAAAGTAAACTGAAGACGATCGACTGAACCTGACAAGGGTGGCTGGCATTCGTATGGTTAGTATAATCTGAAAGACTTTCGGTTATGCTCAGTTGGAGTGGTGCTTATTAGAATCGAGGAACCAGTTCGGTGATCATTCACAAACGAAACAGAGCATAGATGGGATCAGCACATCCTTTGAGCTGTTCGAGTCACTGTAAATCGAGATTACGAACTCTTTTAGTTTCAAGAAGCTTGACAACAATGAGAAGCTCGACGGGATTGATGGATGGACGGGATGATGATAATCATCAACCTACGGGTGCAGTGGTGTGAGCGTGTTCCTCGAAGATCTACTGTTTAGATATTCAGTAACCGAGTGGCGGTTTCGTAAGGTGACACAAAGCTGTTTTCCGGCAAACCCTCAACTTACGACAGCTCTTTTTACCGACGTTTGAGCCGGATCTAATAGATAATAATAATAATACTAAATCCCAATCATATAAATCCGTTCTGCTTCGCGAAAAAGGGGTTTCGGAAATGGAGAGGAAAACCGACGATACGTTCACGGATGGCTTTAACGGTACTAGTAGATCGCACGGAAGTTTGAGATACTGCGTCAGCTGTCCAGAACACGTGCAGTAATCGAAATTGAAAAATATAAAATAATCATTTCAGGGAATATTCCGTAATAAGTTTCTGTGGTTATAATTTTGTCTCTTGGCAAACCGAAATGGATGCTGTATTGAAGAAGAGTCTACTTCTACAATAGGTTTTGGCAATTACTCAAATATCTCATTAATCTGAAGTGCCAATGATAGAAAAATGTCAGATTTCATAACAAAAAAGAGACCAATTATAGAGTCCGGGCGAGTAGGGAATACCATGAGATACGTGAGAGTATGCGAAGTAGTTCTTAAAATGTACAACAGCAATCCCCGGAGAATTCCTGAAGAAAATAACAGAGTGGGAAGGAAATGAATCAGAAAACCGGAGTGTCTGGTTGAACTTCAGAGTTAACTAGAGTTGCATAATGAAACTTACAAAAAAACGAGGGTTCAGTCGCAATAGCAATAGTCAAATGTATTGCTCTCCTCGAGGAACTACTCCAACAGGAAGAAATGAGCTCGACCAACCTGACCACCACTCGATGAACTGTTTGAAATATCTCGTACAATTTTTAGAGTATCAAGCTTGGATTAGCCCATTCGATTGCTCAGAGGCACCAGGCACTCTTGATGATCTTGCGTGTGGGTTCCACTCGTTGGAAGACCGTTAATTCCCCACTACTTGAATGTATTTTAATGTCTTGAAAATGTTTGTATAAACAAATTATTAATACCATATTTTTGGCTACTTAATTTTGAATGAGTAGTAGATGAGTAACGCAAATAAAATCCTCAGAACAGTCAAGCGTTCGCAATTGTCATTTCAGTGAAATTTTCTTTGTATCCGTACCTTGTGAAGGGCACAAGTGTTTAAACAAGACGAGGAACAAGTTGCTTTTTTATTTAACATGGTGGCCAAGTGGTTAGGTCACCAACTTGTGATCTGGGAGTCCCGGATGCGAACCGCTCCACCGCCGCCCGTCTTCCCAGGTAGCCTTTGTATGGCGGCGGCCTCCCTTCCTGAATGTTGACTGTACATTCGCATATTCAATAAATAAAAAAGAAGTAGGAATACATTTATTTTATATTTTATGATTTGGTTATGATGAATACCAGTACATTATCAGTGTCCTTCCTAGAGAGGGGAAGACCCTACTGTTGGACATTTAGTCCCTTGAGATTGAGCTGATATTGATAACCCCAACAGAATTTATTCGACTGATGAAATACTCTGTAGGGCACCAAAAGTGATAGTTTTTTATCAACTGATCCACCGGAACGGTTCGTCCTGTTTCCCTGAGTTGAGCAGCAAACTGATGTGGTGTCGAGTAGCAGAAACTAAATGCGTGTGAATTTTAAATATTCCACTTAAATTTTTGAACTGAATACCTGTGTGCCTCTTGCATCAAAGTTTTGAGGGCTTCTCTTATTGGTAACAAGCGATTAAATTGAATCTTAAGCATGAATAAATACACCTTCATGAGTGTCCAACAGCCCAAACGGAAATGGGTAATTTCTGTGTGAGTGATAGCGCTTACTCCAATTCACAGTTCTACCTACGAATGTTGTGGCAGCAACCGATGCCCTTTTCTAAGAGCTCTTGAAAATCTTGCGATATCATCTTTAATGTGGTTGAGATCTTGAACCGATCAACTTAGTTTTCAAATCACATTTGTGCTGCTCACGTTTCTGATGCGTGTTGTTATGTGCTCAGCAATGTGTCTTGCTAGTGCGTCAAATGCAAATAAAAAATACTCTTATAATCAAACCTGATACACCCAATTTCAAATGGGAAAAACAAGATATCCAACACGCTTTTTTCTCCAGCTATTGTTCCGTGAAACTTTGTTCTTCTTTCGAGAACTAGAAATTGCGCCAAAAATAAGTGAGATGAGGTTTTTTAGTCGACCCAGTGATCACAAAAATATACCTTTATATGGAGGAAAAACGGTAACAATCGCTCAGTGTGACAGTTAAGTCACAAAATCTTAGGGCAAAGTGAATATCTTGTCTCACCAAACAACGTTTGTCTGTTTGCAAGAATGGATTAACTTGTTGGAAAATCAATAACCAGATTGATCGAAGAGAACATGATTGGTTTATCGGGCCAGCTAGACACAGAAAGACAGACACGTATTCCGATAGTCGGGAATGTCTGAAGCATGCACACGCGTACGCATAATAGGGCTGTGACTGGCATTTCATATGCACGCTACCGCTATCGCCATCGACCACCGGAATAAGATGTACCTCGGTGAAAGGCAGGACTGTCGCCTAGTGCTGGTCGATCAGATAGAAGACACGTGCACACACATTAGTACAAGGTTGTGGAATGGGATCAGAGCCAAGGATAACTCACCTGGCTGATTTAAAATTGAATGAAAGGGAGGGCATATGCGATTTCGGATACAAACCATGTCGGTTCGAGAACAAAAAGCAGCGTTGTGTGCGTAGCATAACAGTCCCATGAAATTGTATCAATCGATCATGTTCAACAATGTGTGTTGGAACACGGAACAACTGCATTCAATAAGATCGTCCGGTTCAGCTAGTAGACTAATTTTGGATGCAGACATGTGCGTGAATGTTTCAGAAACATTGAGTCTAATTTCATAATAAATCGGTTGACGCCTAACCTTTTTCAGTACAAAGTGAACGTAAAATCAATCGCCAGTTCAAAGCTGCTGCACAATAAGTAGGCATTCTTTCAAACAATGCGTTTTTCTTCGTAAAATTAATTTCCATATGTGAACTTTCAGTAGTTAGGGCAGAAAAGTGGTTTCCATTGGGCAGTTAA